AAAGTATATGTGAACTGCTGTATGGAAAGTGAATTTGCTCTGTAAATCTTTACCCAAATCACAATTAAAAAAAAAAAAAAGTTGTTTTTATTTTATATTTCACTATTATTAGTATTCTCCAATAATTTCTAAGGGTTTCTTAGGTTTTGCACATCTTTGTTTTGTTGCCTACTATAGTATACTTTCCAAATAATTTTATGACAACTTTTGTTGCAAAAGCTAGAAAGTGAAACTGGAAAGTTGTCGTGACAAGTATAGCCATTTCTCTGCTTGATTAGTAGGGACAGCAGATAAGAAAACTATAAGGCAGACCTTGAAGAATTTACCTCTGGGGCACACATCTAGACAAGAAAACAGATATTGTCAATATTTCTTAAAAATGTATTTGTAAGATTTATTTAATCCAATCACAGAAGTGGAAAAGGACTTTACGGTCATCATACAGACCTATGCATGTCAAAAAACCAAAAACAAAAAAACTCACTGCCATCATCAAGTCGGATCTGATTCACAGAGAACCCTCCTTGGGTTTCCGAGGCGGTATCACTACAGAAGTAGATTGCCCAACCTTTCTTTCAGGAATGGCTGGTGGGTTTGAACTACCAGCCTTCTGGTTAGCAGTCAAGTGCTTTAGGCACTAGGCCACCAGAGCTCTCACCTATGCATGTAGCTACCCCTAAATAAGGATGGAAAAATAAGTCATCTTTAAACTAGGTTTTAAAATATAACATAGAATATAAAAACAATACTTTCAAAAACAATGCTTTTCCCGCTAGCAACTTTCCTAAAGATAATTAGTCAAATGACTCTTTTTTCAAAGTCATGTTTTCTCATTTCCCAAGTCTGAGCTCTGGTAGCTTAGCGCCTAAGGCACTTGACTGCTAACCAGAAGGCTGGTGGTTCAAACCCACCAGCCACTCCTCAGAAGGAAGATGGGGCAATCTACTTCCGCAGTGATACTGCTTCGGAAACCCAAGGAGGGGTCACTATGAGTCGGCTCCGACTCAACGGCACATAACAACAACAACAACACACTATGTTAGTGAGCTAATAACTCAGGCCTGACTGTGCAGCCATCACAAACATCTGACTGATATTACCTTGTGCACAATGAGCTCATGAGTGCCATCTGGAAGCGTCCTGCCATCCTCCTGCATCAGAGGGACAAAAGAGAAACCAAACAACTTCTTCTCTCCTTTCTCCTTCGCTGTAGGAGGGGAAGAGAAAAAAGAGGAGGAATTGCATACTTATACAGGTGCATACTTACACATCTATGTTCAGATACATATATTGTCAAGAAGCATGGTTATCAAGAGATATAAACCCAACCTGCCAGCTCCCTCTACACATGTAGAACAGCTTGTATGGGGAGTGTCAAAGCAGCCCGCCTCTAACCCCATTCCTGCCTACTAATCTGCAAGTTACTCTCACATTCCTTGCTTGATTTTTTTCATATCTGAAATTACGTGTTTTTTTTTAAAAGCATATATTGTGTATTTCTTCTCTTTAAATCTTGCCCTCTACCACCTGAATATATAAATAGCATTGAAGGCAGAGTTCTTGTCTATCTCATTTATTATTATATGCTCAGCATCACCTACAAGAAAATATTAGAGTCTCAATGAAGCAAACAAACAATTAACATTGAATCAACTCTGACTTCTGGCAATCCCACATGTGTCAGAGTAATGTGTTCCATGGGCTTTTCAATGGCTGATTTTTTTTTTTAATAGATCCCTTGGCCTTCCTTCTGAAGTACCTCTGGGTGAACTCAAACCTGCAATCTTTTGGTTTATAGCTGAGTGTGTCATCCACTTAGGGACCCTATGGTTCTCAATATATCAATGTTACATGAATGAAGGAAAGAATGAATATGAAATCCAATGTTCCACTTACTACCCATGGAAAGGGAGTCTCCCATTTTAAGATACAATTACTGGTTTCTTCCTGAGCAAAGGAGAGTGAAGGAGACCAAAGACTCAAGGAAGCAATTAGTTCACAGTACTAATGGCCCACACAAAACACAGCCTCTTCTAGTGTGAGACCAGAAGAACTAGATGGTGCCCTACTACTACTACCAAACTTCCAACCAGGGACACAATAGAAACCCCTGGTTAGAAAGGGAGAAAAATGTAGAAAAAAATTCACATTCATTATAAAACATCAGACTTGCTGGACTGATAGAGGCTAGAAGGAGCCCTGAGACTATCACCCTAAGATACCCCATTAATTGGAACTGAAGTCACTCCCATATGTCATCTTTCAGGCAAATAATAGATTGGCTTAAACAAGAAACAGTAACACCTGTGAGTAATGTGCTTGGTTAAACCATCAATGACCAAACAGTTAACACTAACCCAAAAGCAAGAGCAGATGGCAAAGAGGGGCAGGGAAACTGGATGGATGAAAGAGGGGCAGGAGGGTAGAAATGGTGAGAGTGCTGACTCATTGTGGGGACTGTAACCAATGCCACAGAACAATCTGTATATTAACTGTTGAATGGGCATGTAATTTACTGTGTATTTTCACATAAACCATTCCAAAATGAAACAAAACAAAACAAGAACCTCTAAGCTCTGCCTTGATTCATTCCTGAAGTTCTTTCCTATCCCACATGTGTGAGAAAAGGGAGCTCTATAAAAATTATCTCCCTGGAGTAAGTGAGATACACTGAAATGCAACATGAACTGCCATCTACAGTTTAGTAAGAGCTTACTAATATAGTGCCTAAGGCATTGGACTGCTAACCGTAAGACTGGTGGTTCAAATCCACCAACCACTCCTTGGAAGGAAGAATGGGCAACCTACATCCATAGAGATACCACCTTGGAAACCCAAGGAGGTGTGGCTATGAGTTGGATTCAACTTGGTGGCATGAGGTTATTTGTTGTTTTTTTTTTAATACAATAGTAATTCTTTGGAAGCCAGAAATGAGGCAATGAGGTTTTCAGGTGTTCTGGTAGCATAGTGCCTAAGGCACTTGACTGCTAACCAGAAGGCTGGCGGTTCAAACCCACCAGACACTCCTCGGAAGAAAGATGGGGCAATCTACTTCTGTAGTGATACTGTCTTGGAAACCCAAGGAGGGGTCACTATGAGTCAGGTCCAACTGGATGGCATATAACAACAACAACAACAATTAAGAATTACAATGGCAAGTACCTCCAAGATTCATTAGCAATTATTTATAGATGAGGAAATTGAGGTCATTAGATGTTAGGTAACTTGCTCTAGATCTCTTGAGTATCATCCAGTTCTTTCTACCCAACTTCTTTTTCTCCAAAAATGGAGTAAGCATTAAGAGAACCTTGTTGGTTCAATTCTACTGTCCCTTGTGTTTAGATGTGTAGGGCGTACTCCAAGGCTGTCAGCCTATTATGGGCTGGATGGTTATTCTTTCTGACACACATGTAGAAGTCAAGTGTTACAATTAAATAGAAAATTCTGGCTTTGGGATATTGTAAGACTTGCGCTAGAGGAGTGAGGCATGGAGACGTTGAAGATCACAAAAGAGGTTTTTAGCAATGTGTTGTTCTCTCACAAATGCTCTGCTATTTAACTACAAGGACATGGAGCCTCACATGGAGAAGAGTAATTCTGGCTGGTTGGCTGGCTGTGGCCCCTTGCACAAGGACGTCCCTGAAACTGTAATTATAGCAAAGTTCTTATCAAACCATCAATTTCATCTTCAGAGAGAAACTGGATAAATATTGATGTTAAGCAAAAATCATAGTCAAGATCTCTGGGAGGAGAGTTTTGTATTAATGATTGCTTTGGCTAGGGAACTTAGGGTTTGAGGAGAAGATTTATTCACAAATTATTTCCTATAATTACTTGAGCCTTTTCTGGTGTTATGTGGTGATCAATTCAGAAAGAAAAAAATGAACAGAGATTCTATAATGAATAAAATTAGCGAAGACAAGAAACAAAGCAATAGTTTTCTCAAATTTGCTTTCTGTTAAAATATAAAAATAAACACCAAAGTTTAAACTACATGGCCTTCACCTCTTTTATGTGGCTGCTCACACATCTTATCAGAGAAGTCTTTGCTAACTGACTACCATCACTAGCCTCTAATGCAATTTAGTTTTCTTCACTGTACTTAACACTGCTTGATAGAGCATGTTTATTTTGCTAACTGTCTGTTTTTCCCAAATTAATGATGTAACTCCAGTGTCTGGTAAAGTACTTGGCATATCATAGATGTTCAATAAATAGTGGCTTTATTAATAAACAATATTTAAAAAATTAACATATGTACACACTGACTGAAATATTTAGAAACCCATGTGATAAAACGATTACATTTATTATTTGTAGGTTGGAGGATTATGGGGATTTTTTTCCCTCTTCTTTATACTTTGCTGCTTCTTCTAAATTTTAACTATTGTTAAACATAAAAAAAAAAAAAAATGACAAAACAACTCAAAGTGTTTGAAGTCCAAGGACAAGAGGGCAGGATCCTAACAATTCTATCCTATGCTGAAAACAGTCTTTACTCTGCTTTCCAAGTTCTGAATTACTAACATTCAAAAGTTCTTTTCCTTTTCTCTCTGTTTCACCTTTCCTTTCCTTTTTTTCTTATCTTCAAGGTCACATAAGATTCCAGGGAGAATTTATAATAAAGACTGATGGAAGGAATGGTGTGGCACCATTCTAAGCCCTTTATGTTTTTCCCCTCAAGTCTTTTATAGGAAATTTATAGGAATTTAAGAAAATGGGAGATGCAGCTGGCTCTCTTCCTGAATTCTGAAACGTCTACCAAAGCATAATTTAGGAGCTCTTAGGAACCAATCCCAGCAACAAAGTCCATCTTCTTTGCCTGCACCTTGGATGAATTGGATTCCACTCAGGTTAAGTCACTCTATGAGTAATGCCCCCTCCCAGCCACATTCCTTCCTGACTGGAAAGAAGCCTGTTGTCTCTCCAAGAATGTGACTCTTTTCATACTGTTAACTTTTTTTAGCAACAATGCACACTTCTAATAGTTTCTAAAATAAACTTTAAGGACACTGAAAATATCAAAATATCCCTGGATTAGGAGTTGGTTAGGTAGTAAGCCAGAGACTGAGGGGATGGCAGTAAGTGCAAAAGCATTAAAACAGAGACATCAAAAATGACAACTTCATGGACTGTACAGGCGGACAAATCTTGTAACAGCTCTGTGTCTTGTGTTTTTAAAATCTGTAAAATGAGGAAATTACTTAGAATCATCTCTATTTCAGGTGACATTACTTGCTTCTCCTTTGAATACACTCTGAGACTGCATGGTGATGGCATATGCAAATCAGATATGAACCTGAGCCTAAGAGTGGCCTCCTAGTGATTTCACATCTCCCCAAAACCCAAGTGGACTCCTCTCATCAATCCTAGGGCTGAAGTGGCTCATGGGTGGAGAGATACCAGACTGCTCAGGGATGCCTAAGGCCACCAGAAGATGAGGAGAGTGGTGACACACTGCGGAAAGTGCAACCAATGTCATGGAACATTTTATGTACAAACTACCGAATGGAAAACTAATTTGCTCTGTAAAATTTCACCTAAAGTGCGCACACACACACAGAGACCACCAGAGCAAATCAAGTTTTTAAAGCTGTGCTTCTCTTTTTTGGATATCCTTTTCAACTGTGAAAAGTAATGAAGTATATGGATTTTTATAAAAGTGATCAATTTAAGGAGACCCCTATATAATTTCCAATAAGTATTTTTTTTTTTTTTCTACTATTTATTATTCCTTTGTTTTCATAGAGGTTGTTGAGTCTTCTAGAAAGAGTAAGCCCATTCACCTTTCAGGAGTCCCACTTACCCTGTGTCTCCCTTCTGGAAATCTCTGATTTGTTGCACACTGTTATGGACTGAATCATGTACCCCTAAAATACATTCCTGCCCATTGTGGATGTGATCCTGTTTGAAAATAGGGGATGTTTTTGTTATAGTAGTGAGGTTATACCACTGAAGGGTGGATCTAAACCTAATCACTTCTGAGTCACAAAAAAAACAGCACAGACACAGTGACACACATGTAGAGGGAAGACAGATGCCAATGAGTGCCAAAAAACTCCAAGGAATGCCAAGGAAGTCTGAGGATCTCTTGTATCTACTGAGAAAGAAGGAGTTTTCCTAGAGCCAAGCCCTAAGCTCATACTTCTGTTCTCCTGAATTGTGAGAAAATGCATTTCTGTTCCCTGAAGCCCCTCCCTTGTGGTATTTTTTATTGCAGCGACACTAGGTAACTCAGACACATGCCTTTGGCAAGTTAGTCCACAGTCATTTCTGCTCAGTGAGCAGACTGGCCCAACACAACGGTGCGTGCAGAAAATGTCACAAAATACTTACTGGAACAATGTCGAAACTCAAAGCGGATATGTGCGCCCCTGAATTTATCCACAGGAATCGGAAGTTTCAGCAGTTCAGACCACCTGGGACTGTTGTTATGATAAAGCACGAAGGAGTGGTACTCACTAGCTGGTGGCTCTCCAGAGCCAAAGGAGATAAAATCCTAACAAAGGAAATACAGGTTAAAGACAGTTTCATTTAAAGATTGTTTTGAAACAACAGAGCAATTACTTTGCTATATCTTCCTGCTCCCCAAACAGCACTTCATGCAAAATTACTTCCATGGTCCTTTGCATTATGGTTTTTGCACTTGCCACTGCCTAGTGAGCTCCATCTGTCTAATTCAGATGGTCTCCTAGGGCCTCTCCTACCAAGGTGGCTCTCAATGATGTGCGTGAGGAGGCCAACTGCTGCCCAATTTGGAGTTCAACCACATGGCAAAGTTCTCACCCTGCACCAATTAACAGCCTATTCCATGTTTCACTGGTAACTCACCAAGTGGCAGGCTCAACCCTCTTATTTGAACAGGTAATTGTACTTCTCTATAAAGAGACGGCTTATGCACAAAATTTCTTCCATAAAGGAACCTAATATTACCACATTTTATAATACCCTTTTTTTTTTTTTCCCAATTGTGATTTGGGTGAAAATTTACAGTGCAAATTCACTTTCCATGCAGTTCACATACACATTGTCTTATGACATTGACTACAATTTACCCCAATGCAACAGCTCCCCTCTCACTTCCTCTCGATAGTTACCTCTTCCCTGTGTCCCTCCCTCCATGCACTACTGCCCCTGAGCTTTCTCCCTGTGCATATACAGCCCTTCTTTCTCACATGATTATTCTTTCCATGGAGTATATCTACCTCATGTGAATGTTCGACTCAAATGCCTATCTTTTGTTTGGCTGGAAGCCACAGTAATACCCTGTTTTTTAAAGTCTATTTTAGCCAAAATGAAAAAACAAAGGATTAAATGGAATACTTTATTATTATTATTATTATTATTAGCCCAAATGCTGAAGAAATTTTGTTCATCTCTGAAACTATGACAGATAAAAGAGAAAAAGAAAACAGCATAAAAAAATACTACATTTAAGAAATTAGCCACCAAATGGTCCCATAAGTATATTTGTATGATCTGAATTCTCAGGTGTATAGTAGAGCTAACAAGGGACAAAGTTGTGGTCACTTCTTGGTCATAGCCAGCTACCCAGAGGGACCGAGTAGTTGAACCAGTGGGCTCGGGACCACAGTCACAGGCGACATCAAGCTCAATTGGCATAACACACTATACAAAACATTGCTCCACCTCCTACTTTGGTGAGTAGCGACTGGGATCTTAAAAGCTT